TAATTACATTATCATGATAAATCACTTTCACAGATGCGCACTACCAAATCTAAAAGGGCACTTCCCACTTCACTAAAACACACATTATCACTACACAACTAGTTCAACTCCACAAATAAAAAAAATATTAAAAAGGTCTGATCTTAAATTCATCTTTGAAGGGATAGATACTTGAATAAAATGTATTTGCCCAATGATAAATCCTGAGAGAAATAACTCTAATAAGAGATATCCATGATAATACAGAATTTTGCTTAAAAAACATGCATAACTAGACTAATCACAGTACTCTAGAAAGCACCATGTCTTTAAAAGCAATCATCACAGTATGAAATCAACTCTGAGCTTATTACGTTAGGCTGAATAATCTAAAATTGTAGAATTAAAAATAATTATTGATAAAAGATAAGACATAAAACCTCCCTAGCTGTTTGAATCTAAGAATATCAGGGGATGGAATGAATGTTGAATTTATGTTGTGGAAAATTGGTCCCAAGTTGGTTTTACACTTCATCAGAAAGCACTTTTGTCTTGTATGCAAACAGTTAATGAAGCATACCAAAACTGCAACTTTTTTGCTAGCGCTGGTATGGAAAGACTCACAGCATATTCCATAGCTTGCAGAATATTTAAGAAACATTATAGATTTTTCATTTATTCTCCTTTGATTATAACACAGAATCCTATAATTTTAAATAAGATTTCTTCTTGCATTTTCAAATATTGTTTTATACAGCTTGCAGTTGCAGAAATAGTTTAGTCTTTCATATCTAATGCATTCATTTTTTTCCTTTACATTTTTGTTACTTTTCAAGAAAAGATGATACCACATAAGTAACTGGTGCCCTAATAAATTCCAAGAATGTATGCATTCTTAACTAGCTCTCATGCTAGATGTGTGACCGGTTTTAAAATTTTATAGTTGAACTTATCTCTATTTTATTTCTTATATTTTGCTTCAGCTATTCTCATAGTTGAAAACAAGAAACTAACTATTCCAGTATAAGTACATTATTCCAGTATAAAAGTATAACAGTTATACTATCATACTTTTTCTAGAAAAAATGGGTAGGACAGTCTCTTTCATACCAAAACTGAAATAAACATACAGAACAAGGAAGACTGACCATTTGCCTTTAAAATGCTTTCCTTTCACACTGCAGTTTCATGACTTTTGCATCAAGAATATGTCTGCAGAATTATATCTGAGTATGGCAACTAGCTCCATTATCTCACCCATACACACTGCTATGATTAACTTGGGGAAAGTAGTGCGGCTTACACAGCTGAACAAATGGTTGGTGAACTCCAGTCAATCACCACATCAAAAAGAAAGTCCCAACTGCAAAGGCAAATGGCATTAATGCTCTACAGGAGGGGATCAAACTGCCTAAAAATGGTGTAATGCAGGAACTGAATACATTTATTTATTCAAGAATCACAGAAGCTGTTTTATATGTGGGATCCAGCCCTTTACCACTTGTCCTGTAAAGAGGCTCCCATCAGCAGACCAACATAATAAACACTACTAATATAAACTATGTTGAATGCTCAAACTTCAGGAAACTGGCGTAAACTGTCTTCTGCCATACATCCTCATTAAATAAGCCCATCAATTAAGGTCATAAAGGATAACTTTGAGCAGTCTTTGCTAAAAAGAAAAAATTAAAATTATCTGCCATTAACATCCTACAGGAAGATCAATCCACCAAGTTGCAGATCAACGACACAGCCTGGGCTACATTTCAACAATTACTGGCAGCAAACCCACCTAAATTATAATAGAAGTTTTGGGCTCTCCAGTTACAGTTAGGACTGCAGAAGTTTATAACCCTTCAAGTAATAACAATCAGATGAGGTTGCAATGTCTGTTCTTAGGCTTTCAGTGCCACTAAACTAGTTTCAGATAAATAGATTAAATGCATCATAGACCCCAACTATCTTGCATAACAGTTTTGTAAGATTCCTCATATTTTTACAATATACAGTAGCTGACATATAGCCTCCTCATTTTTTTTTTTTATTTATCATGCCATAATATGCTGACATAAAGAGTCCCTTTCAGATTTTGCTAACATGCTTATCTTTTTTAATACACACTCACACTAGTCCACTTTGAGCAGGACTTTTACCCCCATCAGAGATTCTCCAAAGGTGGTCAGCCCAGAAGGGGTTGCACCATCCCCTCCAAAGAAATGTTTGGTAAAGCATCATCTTACAACAAGCTACTTCTGGCAGAGGCAATGTACTCACATTCAGATTCAGACAGTGAACTTGCTGGACCTCATTACCTAAGAAAGCTGGGTTTGATTTATATTTTAATATAAATCTTTCAAGAAAGCCCAGCTGCAGCAAGAAATGGAAGTGGCAATTTAGAAGACACCACTCACTCACTCACTCCCCCTGAGTCTATGCCGAGGAACTGCTTCAGTATGGTGTGAAGGGACATCATGCGGCTGGTGGTGCTGTCTTTCAGATGAGTTATAAAACTGAGTTCTGACAACTTACAGTCATTAAATATCCCATGGCACTTTTCACAGGAGTACATGTGTTAACCCATATGTCCTGGCTATATTCCAAATGCATAATTGCATTCTGCCTACCTAAATTCCCTATGCAGTTTCAGTAGCATGCAGAACTATTTATTCACTTTCTCTCTTCTTTCCACCATTGCTCTTTGGCATTTATCCTCAGGTGCAAAAAAAGGCCCAGATATACCACAATACCTAACTTTTGGCTGGCAGGCATGAAAGAATTGAAGGTAACTCCTATGCACGAAACAATGTACAGGAAGAAAGGGAGTCCTCACAATTCAAAGAAAAAGAAGAAAAGGGAGGGGGGGAAGCATGGAGCTGCCTAAGCTAGACGAGGCAGAAATATCAAGAACAAGAAAATCTTGGAACTGCTCAGCCTGGGTCTTAAGTACCCAGCAGTTTTGAAAAGTACCTCCATTTATCTGGGCTGTCCCAAACCTTCAAAGACTTGTAAAAGGACTGGTGAGATTTTAACCTTGTCCTCTGAGACTCAGATACTTAAATTATCCCTAAACTCCCCATAAACACATTTTGTGAAGTTGAAAACAAAGAGATATTTCAAGGCGTAGTTCTACATTTTACATCTTAAATAGACTATATGAAAAACATTCATAAAACACGGAAAGAGGCCCTGGAGTACTCCCAAAGGATCCTAATTATTGAACCACACAATCATTCCTCCTTTCATTTTCAATACATGTTGCTTTCACTTCATTCTAGCCGTCCCAATGCAGGAGCAAAAAGTATTTAAGAGAGAATTCAGTTTCCACAATGAGAATTATTATGCTTTCACAGAAGATAGGTGAAAGAGGTTTTAGTCACTCATATTGACCCTATTTCCTTAGTGATGCTTTATTGACTAGACCACTAGTTCTGAGCTCACATCACTGAATTTGGTGGAACTTACAGTGGCTTCTAGCTTTGTGCCCAATGCCATACATCTAGCAAGGGTATGTGTTGAATTCTGCCTTAGAGATCACAGGCTTGAAACAGGTCTATGTAGATATACTTAATCTTCTAAAATACATTTATTTACCATTTCTCCTATTTTATTTTTTTTCCCGATAGTTAAAGAATAAATAATACAGATAACAATTAAACCAGCCCTGTACAATCCTTTTCTGGTACAGGACACACGACTTGGCTGTAAAGCGTTTAGACTTAAATGCACTTAACTGAAGTACTCAGTTTAAGTGACCAGCTGCCTCATTCCCTCTATAGCCAAACAATAGGCAGTCAGGTGTACATAGTAATTCACATATTCATCATCCCACATTGGGGATATCTATCTCTTTTTGAACTGTGCACAACTGGATTCCAAACTTTATGAAGTCAAATGAGTTAAACAGGACTAATGCCAAACATTTTTTTATCCTTCTTTTTTTTGTGATAATCACCATTACATTCCTATCATAAAAGTAGTACAATGAATTATGCCGAAGTACAATTGAAGTGAGCTTCTGGGTTTTTTGTGAAATTATCTATACTCACATCCTTAGTCTTATTCTTACCATTAGCTCGAAATGGTTTTCAGCTGCATAACACAGTGAATCAAATGTGTTTTCTTGTAGCCAAAATTAATGATTAGAATCATATCAGGTGGCAGAGTCAAGTGAGAGAGATGCCACCTTCACTCAATGTTCAACTTTATTCACCTCTTTCCTCTTCTGAATCAACCTGCTGCCAGCTTTCTTCACTATTAAAATCACTGTATCTTGAGGTTTTTTTGAAGACATACATTCAGGTCTTAGATTATATTGATAAGCTATCAAAAAAAAAAAAAAAAAAAAAAGCCCAAAACAACCTCCAAATACATTGTGAGCATGACTGCATGAAATAAAGGCAGGTCTGATGGATGTTTAAATAATGTAAATGACATTTTGTAATATATGTCCCTGATTCTCCTTTCACTTATGCTGCTGTAAATCTGGGGGGGAAAAAAGATCTCCATGGATTTTCATAAACTTACTCTGCTCAAAAGCTGATATAGCTGAGAAAGAATCAAATGTTCTTCATTTAAATATTGATTGTGCACTTAGGAAATTAAAATAGTTGTGATGCATACACTGAAAATAAATATTTTTTTTCAATATATATTAACTTCTGTAAGATTACAGGCTTAGAGAGAATTCCAAGTAACTAGCTTGTCTGAAATGAAAACATGAATATTCCTAACAAAAGGGTTTTGTATTGAGGGGATTAGAGGGCAGCAGGTAGCTTGGAAGCCTTTGGAATATCCTGCATAAAAACAGGTCATTTTTAATATAAAAAAAACCCCAACAAACTTTAATACAGAACAACAGATTGTGCTAAACTCACAATCCCCTTTCTTCTCCCTCTGACATGCAAACACCTGACACACAAAGGGAGTCACATTCAGAAGGAGATTATGATGCAATGATCTCGTTGTGAATGTTGCATTATGGTTTCAGCATCGCTGTAAGAGCTCCCCTGGCACTTGTGCTTACAGCAATTTGAATTTCTGTGGCAGCTAGGTATGATTTGTGACAGATTTCAGCCTTGCTCTTCATTGAAGGAGTACATTGGCAAGTGTTTGAGGTATTTACCATGGAGATTGGAAAGAAGAAAATGTAAAGAGAAACATCTGAGGTAGCCCATTTTTAGTTGTTTTTTTGTTTGTTTATTTGGGTTTTTTAAAATTGATTTTTTTTTTAATTTTAAGTTAGCCAAATCAGTTCTCTTTCAATGGCATCATTTTGTGCTTTTTAGGAAAAGTTATCTCATTACACTGTTTTATTTGAAGGATTATTCCATTCCCCGTGGTAGTGAAACTCTGTTAATTTTAATGACTATTATAAATCCATATACCACTAGCAAAATGCTCCATGTAGAGTATGAAGAATCAATTGATTGTATGGTAGTTCATGGCATACGTGGAAAAACATTTCCTTATACATTCTTTACACATTGTTTACGTGGTTTGGCAAAATCTTAAGCAGACAAAACATAGTTGTCTTTTTATCCTGGAAAATACCTTAAACTTTTCTGAAAAATGTAGAGTACTAGATAGGTAACATGTTTGGCACTGCATTCCCCCAAAAGTTTGCTGAGCTAAGGCCTCTGCATTTAGGGTAGACTAACAAAGCTCACCTGCAAAGATTGTTCTCAATATCTCTTCTGCCTTAAATGCCACAGCCAGCATCTGCCTGCAAAGTTTCTCTAAAACTTTCTTGGTTCTGTGGACAAGATCTTATCTTGATTCCTTCCTCATTCCCATATATAAATACTGAAAGTAGTCCCCAGGGAACACAGACAGCTCCACAGCAAATGCTGCCCTCTGAGCACGAGTATTCAGGGTATAATGACAATACACTGGCTAGCTTTGGCAAGAACTGATGAATGAGAAATTTAACAAGGAGATATTGCACAGCCTACAAAGAGAAAACCTGCATTTAACAAAGGATTGAGGTTGGCTGGGTTTAGGCTACTAATCCAGTAGAATTCCATTCATATATAAAAATAGCCTATCGATTAAAGCATATTTCTTCCTCTTTGGCCCTGTTTTTCAATTATTTTATTTGAGACAATAAGTTTGGCAAGTTCTTTTGTTCACACAGTTCCTGTTATTTTAAAAGCAACAGATTTTATGGCCCATGGTTATCATTTGATACTTAAAATATGTACAAGAAAGAATGCATAGGAGGTGTCAGGTGTACCCTTGGGAGGATAAGAATGTTCAAATGGGCCCAGGTCTTCTACAAGTAGCAGTTTCTGTATGAATGGGTGAGAAATGTTCTTTCGCACTTGCAGGTGTTCTTATATTTATATTCTTTATATTCAGAAGGTACAACATAAAATATGACTGATCTGCCAAGCATCCTCAAGTCAGGGTTCCAAATATGAGAACCATATTTTCAAAATAATTTATATTTATATATACATATATATTTTTACCTAAACTACAGGATTTATATACAAAGATATCAAGTATGTTTTTGTACCTATGCATTTTTTAATTTACTTACTTCAGTTTTAAATGTTATATGCACAGTCTTTAGAAGCTAATGAAACAATGTAGATTTGATTTACTTGATTTAGAAAATATTACAGTAGATCTGGAATGCCAATGGTTTGCTATTGACTGCTAAAAAAAAGCAAAGCTGCAATATATATTACACAAAATTCCAAACAGAAAAGAAAATCACAATACGTTGTAGTGATTTATCATCACCTATCCTTAAAAAATACATACTTCAACTACATTGTTGATAAACAACTAAAAAAAGAGAAAGTAATAAACAAACTCTAGCATCTTTGAATACTAAGTGGAGTTAAATAGAATATGTGGATTTATTTGACTTACCATCTGATCATTTTTTAAAATTACTGTATCTCCTAATAAATGTCACAGACAGAGCCTGTTGAAGAACTGTTCAGTGTAGAAGCAGTTTGAAGAAAACAGAAGATTATATAAAGTAGTAGAAATAAAATATAGAAAATATATAACTAGTCCCTTTTTTCTAAATTAAGATCATCAGTCTATTTAGAGAGATGGAAGTGGAAAAAGAGCACTAATACGTGAGAATACATAACATTAAGTTTGGCACAACTGTTAGTCCTTCTCACTATACGAGAATGTGAAAATATTCCAAGAAACTGAGATACAACATATCAGCACATATCACTTTCTGGAAGAAACGGAATTACTTGTTTTTAAAATATTTATAATCATACAGATGGAAATAATTGAGAACAGCAGTTTGTTTAAACCAGAACTTATCACTTAGCATCATAGTGGGGAAAAGTCCTCATTACATTAAATATAAGAAACAATTATATGAGATTAAAAATGTTTCATTTCAGATTATAAATCCTTGCTGACTGATGAAGACTACTCAGGGACCATTCATGCATAGAAGAAGATGATTCTATATCTGTATCTATATCTGTACCTATATATATCTATATTCTATATTTATATCTAATGCTGCCAGTTTCTTGAACTTTCCTTTGATGGGATTGATAGGATATCATGACAGATTCACCAAAAGTCCACTGTAAAGTGGAAATACTATGTCACACTGACACTTGAGAGACTGTGGTAACTGAGGAATGCTTTGAAGTATTTATGACATCACAAAAATGCCATTATTATAAAGATACATCTTTTTAATAACTTGGTTACAATGCTTGAAATATTTTGATTCTATTGCTACTGTGCAATAACAAAAATATTGTCTACTTAAAAGGGATCTCTCTATATATAAATATGATGTATACATTTATATATTTTATTTATGTATAAACAGGGATTAGTATTCACATTAATGTATATTTGTGTACTGATATTCATATATAAAGCCTAAACCCAAGTATATTAATGTATATTAGACTATGTTTGCCTATACAAAAGATTAATGGTTAGAAAATGATACATTCATGCAGAATTTATCAAATACTTGAAACAAATCATTATTTAATTTTGGAGGATAGAAAAAATAAAACAAAAGAGAAACTATATCTGTATACATAGTACTAATTAAGTCAGAGTATTTCAGTGTAGGAATTGTACTCACTCTCTTCTGTCTTTTTTTTTAAGCTTTGCAGAGAAAGAGCTGTTGACTTATTCATTTCAGTTAGCAAGAAATTTCTCAACTTCCTTGGGTGCTTAAGTGCAAGAATATTTTAGACCCCATCTTTGCATATTACTTTATCTTTCAGTGGTAATTAACAGAGTCTTAATCTGGCTAATGTTAATGACCACTGTTCTTTCTTTAAATCCCAGTTAAACCAAGCTTATTAAGGGCCAATTAAAGGCCAATGTGATCTGAATAACACTAGGACCAATTTTTAACAGCTATAACTCTTTATTTTGGATGAAGATTGTGGAGGGAAAAACCCTTCTCATTATGGCCTTTGTCTGTTTTAAAATAAACTGTCAATGGCTATTGGGAAGGATGGGGAATCTTGGAAAACATCAGAGATGTAGATGAATTTTGTAAAATGCAGATATTCTAAAAAAATTAGTTATATACCACTATTTTCAATCCTTCCCATATAAAAAGGTAATACATTACTAATTTCCACTTCATTTTTCATAATGTTATAGCACGAAAAATGGAAAAACACTTTGCAATAACCTTACAAGTGTCCATTAACTGAGTACCATGGACAAAATGAAGAAAAACTTGTTCATCATTTGAATAGGAAATGGAATATTTCTACCTAATATGAAATAGTTAATGGATAAAATTCTCAACTCCAGCCTTTTCAAAAGCTTGTTGGTTCCACTTATGTCTAAGGTGACCCTTCTACAGACATGTTGTTATAAATTACCTCCTACTATTTCTTACATATCTAAGATTTCACTCATTGCTTAACTTCCTCACTTTTATCTGGACAGAAGCAGTAATGCAATCTGACTATTGCCTCTAGCTAGTAAACAAAATATTACTTTTACCACTACTACCTGAAGTCCTAAAACTGTAGAGCTAACCTCCCCTGCAGCAAGTCTCCGCAGCACAGGTCTTTTGAGTACTCTGCAGCACACAACAAACCAAACTCTATGGTGACAATTCTTAAATTCTGCAGCAGCAACCACAAAATCCATGGCAACATTAATACATTATTGTCTCTAAAATACTCTTCACTCTACTTTCCCACTCCCGCACAAACATATTCAGCCATGACTCATAGCAGAGAAAATCACTGATGAAAAATTGATGGTTATTTTTAATAATAAATCCTGAATTATTTTTCTCTGTTCTCCCCAGATAATTTGGCTATAACAGCCCTTGGGCTCTAAAAGACTTCTGCATAAATCATCCTTCTATCCTGATACCAGCACAGAAGAAGACTCATATCCTGACTCTCCAGCTTTCCATGTCCTACTTGTTCCACTCTTTGTCAAGCTATCAAGCTCACTTGCATCTCATTCAGTTTTCCATCTATCAAGCTGGACATCAGCTGTAACTTTTTGTGTTCTTTTTCCTTGCTCCACAAGATAACACAGCCGCACTTCAGCTGTGAACATAATTACAAAAACAAAACAAAATCCTTATCAAAATTGGAAGTAGAATTTTGCAGAAAATTATATGGCTACAAGAGTGTCAGGCTTTGCTCCACACAACCTATCTGATAAACCCACATCTGTCAGCACTGCTACTACAATAGGAAAGCATTCTATTTTTCCTAAGCAGTTATCAAGGGATGAGGAGGGAAGACAGAGGGGAAAGAGAACACCACAAAAATTGTATCACACCAGCAACAAACAGCAAAACAGGAAGAAGGTGGTGACATCACAGAGGATATTCCAGTACTGAAACAGGGTTTGGCATGTCATAGCCAAAAAATGCAGTTCTAGGTGAGGTCACACATATAGTAATGGCTATGAAAAAAATTGGAAAATACAAAAAGAAATGTTTAATGTAATCCCTAGTTACTCACACCTGTTATTTTGGCAAATCAGCTTTTCTTTGGCATACAAAGATAAACAAAAGATAGACAACCCAGAATCTTAACCTGTCCAGTGTACATCTCCATGCAAACCCTGCAGCAACATCACTAAGACAGAAGAGCTGATCAGTCACAGCCACAAACTAAAGAATCACATTGAATAGTATTCTTAACTAACAGCCCTTTCCCATCCTGATCTTTTCTTTTCTTACTCTCTTTTTCCCTCAGTTCTCCTCCCCCACCATTTCCCACCACTACCACCATCACCGATCATTAGATGGCACTTCTGGATTTCAATAAAGAGCTGCTTTCCTGCATCTTTTCCCAGTCAAGGTTTCAGCTGTACACCAAGGAGTTCCATCCTGTATCCCTGAGTGTAAGACTCCAGCATGACCCTGGTTGCTGTACTGGTACAGCAGCAGTTCTGTCTGCACCCAGGGAAACCTCTGATATGCATGAGGATTAAAGGTACTGTCTGCAAACAACTTCAGTTTTTACTGGCCCCTAGATTTCATATCTATAGGTATATGTGTGTGTGTATATATATATATATATATGTATGTATGTATATAAAATCATTCTGGGGTATTTAAATACTATTTTGGAAAATGCATGGACTGCAAAACATTCTTTGCCACCCCTGTGACATCTGTTTAGCACTGCTGTACCAACAGGTCCAGCCACACTTCAGATGATTCCTGCAGGACCAGTTACTTGCCTTCTGTAGGATGACCCTCAGCATTTGTTCAATATCAGAACTAAGGCAGGTTCTTACCCAGTCCTAGCTCAGCTCTAGCTAGTAGACCTTGGTGCATGGGCACCTGACTATGGTCAGTATGTTGCCGGGGTGGTCTCATCAAGGTTTACTGATTAAGTAAACCAGTAACACAGTATCCATATGGCACAATACTTAACCCAAAAGTGACTGAGCATGTTGGTGAGAGCACTACACAAAAAGATAAATTCTGTTGTTGGCATCCTTACTCCACAAACCACATTTGTGGATAAATAAAAAAGTACCTACTCCCTTTCATATCAAGAAAGTACTGGTAAATCTGATGTGCATGCAAAACCAGCTGAAAAATCCTGACTATTTTAAAAAATTTTGATGTGGCACATCTCTGGAAACAAGATGAATGGGGACTTTTAAGCCAGAACGAACCATACAAGTATTGTATGGATACCAAAAGGACAGATACTGATTTCTCAATCACTAAGAAAAATGTTGGGTCTAATGCAATAAAAGTGTATAGGAGAAAAGAACCAAGCAATTCAAGGGAGAAGAGATTTAATACAATTATCCTGGACACAAGGCTTGTGAAATTGCCTTAAAAAGGTGTCCAATGAAGGCTTTTGGTGAGTTCTGCAGAATAGACAGAAGATACGTTATCCATAGTAACACCTGCTTTCACTTCTCAGGTGGAAAAGTAAATCAAGACCTTCCTACTATAGGTGCAAAAGACATAGATTTTGTTTTCAAAAACTATCCATCTTTTACTGTTCCTGACTTTCCACGTGCTAATTTAAATTTCTGAAAAGATCTTTTTCTATCCAGATCTTTTATCTGTCTGCTTCGTCACTCTCCCTCTGTGTAACTGGGGCATGGGAACTAGAGATGTCAGGTTGGTTTTTGTTTTCCCAAGGATGACTCAGGACTGACTGAACAATTACTACTGGAGTCATGAAGTACTTTTTCCCTTTGGAGCCTTTAAAGTATCTTGGAGTTTTAGTTCAACTGACAGGAAAATTTGGAAGTAATGTAAAGCCCTAGCTATTCCTTCATAACTTTGAAGGGTTGCTAGTAAAGTACGTAATAACAAATGAAACACAGAAATTTGCTGGCAAACTTTTGCAACTGAAAAAGGTATGTCTCCCTCTGGTAACTTTTGCCTTGCTATGGGAGAATCAAGGAGAGAAGCATACTCAAAGACCTTGCAAAGAAAAATTGAATCCTAGAACTGAATCCTACAAACTTTATTTCATCCTCTTGGGGGCCTGTGTAGCTGGGGAGTCTGGGAAGATTTTTACTGTTTCCAAACCTTTCCAGTGTTAAGTCAATAACACTGCAGCCTGCTGCTTATATCCATTCCTGTGTCTGTCTTCATTCTCTTGAGCATCCTAATCATTTAAATAGACTGGTGGCATTTTGAGATGCCAGCCATTCACACTAAGATGAAATCTTTCATTGTGGAGTACAAAACAGTTACCTACATAGATAAAATATTCATATGTAAGAAATAGTACTGGCTCAACTCCTATCTATGACTCATTTCAAACTTAGCATACTTCATAGCAGAAGATGAATTACAGTGCTCCACAGAGGTGATCAGATAGAGAGAAAGGGAGAAACAAACCACATAATAAACAAACACTTAATATGCAACTTTTAAGGCCTGATATTTTGTCATCTAATTCTAAATACTAGCTTTAGAAAACGAGACATTCTAGAAAATTAATATCACAGGTAATCTATAGACCACTTTTGGCTAATTTAAAGCTCCAATGTGTATTTGTTTCCTGTATAAATTTCTTTCTTATTATTCTCAATAAGATACTCTCAGCACGATAAAAAGAAAGACATTACCATTACTAGCAGCGTTTTCAATCATGGGGGCTATATATTCAAGAGCAATCAATAAAAACCACACAGGGCCTGACAAACAACTAGTCAAAGGAATCATTTTTCTCAGATATTTACTAGTATCCTTTTAAAGTAATTGCTTTTGGTCAATGTTACTCGTTATCATTTGGTCTGCTCTTTTTCCAAATTAGAATGGATGTCATTTCCATTAATATTTCAGCTGTCTACGTAGGTTTTCAAAGTGCACACTCCACAAAAAAAGTCTTTCCATTTCAACTTCAAAAGGATTCTAGAATGCTATAGAATAGGTAGTGCCATATCATTGGATCTAAAAGTTAATTTTAAAGAAAATTATTATGAAATTTGAGATATTGTCTGCCCTCCTCACTCCACACAAAACTGTTAAGTCCCTAAAGACAAATGGAAATAACAGAATTTGGCCCAATCAACCCATGCTAGAAAACAGTATTAGCAGACAAATATAATCAAAATGCCACCTAAAATATGGAAATGAACACCAATTCATCATTATAGCTTTTTTTAGAAAATCTACAGAAAATTTCTGAAAGCCTTGTGTTGCCTAACCCTGCTTGTGACAGCAGGGAAGTTGTTGCCTTGTGCCAACTGATTATTTAAAGATGTCCACAAGATACTGAAAATACCCAGCATAATCTGTAAGTGTACAGCTGGGATACCAAATTAGATTAAGAAAGGCAAAGAACATATCTTTTTAGTTGTAGTAAGGCCTCAGAAACTGTCTAGCTATGCTTTGTACTAAATGTTCTGGCATGCTGCCAAGGCACTTCCAAACATTTCTGAGTTCACTTTTCCACAGAACTCTTTTAAAAATCAATTAGTACTGAAAGTCTTTCAAATGCAAGTGTTTTAAAATGTCAAGCTTGTATTACTTTTTAATTTTTTTTCTTTCCCTTGTTGTGCATCAATGGCGGTATTTTGAAACCTTTATATTACATTGATCATATTCTCTAATTAAGCCTGTAAAGAGAATAATATGTGCAGGCAGTTTAAAATGTACATAGCAAAAGGTTCATTGTTCAGAAAATTTTAAAAAAAAAAGATTAGAGATATGCTGTAATTTTCTTAAACAAGGATGCCCAAGATAAATTTGTATTAATTTCAGGGTGATAAATGTTTTCATCATTACAAGATGATTGTAGAAGAAATGAATATGGTTTTTAGAAATTCCTGGGTTAGAACATTTTAAAGTATACTGCTTAAGTGTTTAAAAAGCTCAATTAAAAGTGCTGGAAAGAGTAAGCAATAAATAGAGGCTTCTTTAAATATTCATCAAAAATTAAGAATACCATCAACAGGGCTTTCTGATTATCAGAAAAAGATAATCTTTTAAGGATTTTAACTTCTCAGTGGACTTTGTAGCACACTGAAGCATACACCTTCATCTTCCTGTTGCGTTATGTACATTTTGGATGATATCTCTATTATATAATAGAAGAGTTAAAGAGTATGTTTTGTCCCTATGCCACATAATCTGTTTGCTCTATTTCATTCAGCTAAGTGCCCAAAGGTTTACACAGATAGCAATTGATTGAAATCAGTTCTTTATGTGTAACACATTTATATTAATTGGTTTGTCCTTTCAAGTTCTGTTTATCTCTTCATTTCCATCACAGTTTTAAAGGTCACTCAGTTCCATTTATAAATTCAACATGACAGAGATTAGTAAAAGAAAAAAAGGAACAACTAAATGAATGCATCATCACACAATCACACATCTCACAATTCATTTATCATATTAATAAATAATGCTGTCAAATGCTTACTGCTAAGTTTGTTTGCTATCATAAAAATATTTCTGTCAAGATAACTTAATCAGTTCTGTTTATGTATTGAGCTAAAAATGAGCTACAGAATACTGAGGATATTAAGCATATTAAACATTTGTCCCCTTGATCCAAGACTGCAACCTGAAAGTTTTGTATTTGTGGTTTTTTTTTAAAAATCCCTCCATAGCTGTCTAACAATAAAGTTCATCCATTTATATCTTAATCCAGGCAATTCACTCTCTTCTGATTGCTGAGATGAGGTAGTGTTATGAAATCTGAGAAGATGAAATGTGAGACTAGTGTTACTAACAAACACGGGTGCTCTAACTATCAGGAAGGGGAAAATTGCAGTGAGAGAGAAACTTTTTTTTTTGTTTAAAATTACATGACATCATGGTTCAACATGCCTAACTACTGACAACTAATCTATTTTGGAGAAGGCCTCTTGTGTCTTGTAAAAGGCAAGCTTCACTCTGAAGTGAAGCAAAATTAAATTTAATGTACAGTTTTTCTTTCTGTGAATAGGAATTGTAGTCTACTGTAGCATAGGTAAAGAAATAAGAAAACATTCAAATGTAATCTAAACCTAAATTATTACAAGTTATGGAAAGGGCTATTATCTGCGTACTTTTTGAAGCAAGCCTTTTCTAAAATCTCCTTAGAGAAAATTTTTCACAAGTATCTCAACAGCAAAAGAGACAGACATTGTGGTATGTAATGTCTCCAGTTTGGATCTTCAGTTTCAATAGAAGTCAATGGGAGAGGCAGCATCAAGGTCTGCAGCGCTCCATATCCATATGAAAGTTCTTCATCATAAAAAAAAAAAAACAAAAAACCAAAAAAAAACCCCAAAAAACTAGAAGAAGAAAAAAAAGTCCTATGGGGCTTTTTTCTTCTAAAGAGACAGTTGTATACAGATTCTGTCACTGACAGGCACATCA